GAAAATTCCCATATTTTTTACAATTTTTGGGATTTTTTTAAAATTTTTTGTTAGAACCCTAGTTATACATACAACTCAGGGCAACTCCACGTCGTCCATAGGGCGACTACACATCCGAGTGCACTAAGACCGATCGGACTCGGCCGCTCCGAATCCCATAACACTGTAGTTTTCAATATCTATCATTTTGGAACTGAGAAGTTGGCGATGTTTTTCCAATAGCTCACAACTAGCTTTGATGAATGAGACCTATGTAGAGAAATATAGCAATGACCTTTTGTTTTTGTGTTAAGGACGCATAGAGTGGGCAGATGCTCACTTTTAAAGATCAATGAACATGCTATCTACTATGTATTTTTAGCTAACTCTCGAATCTATGCACACCTCCTTGATTTATTAGTAGTTTACTAGACCCGAACAATAATGGGAGATTTTGTTTTTTCCTATAAGTTTTGTGTGTTTTTTTTTCTTTTTTTGGCCCTTAGCATATTGTTTTTTTGGTTTATTGCTAGGTGACTTGATTATGCTTTAAAGTATTTAGGATTTTGCCTCCCAGAGGTAAAACCCATGCAATTTCAACCCGCCTAGGTTTTAAAGGAATCGTGTTAGGTCTAATTTTTATTACTTTGACCGGATTATTTGTAACTATATATTTACAATACAGACACAGAGATCAATTAGATCTTTGATTGAGTAAGATTCACTATTTTTTTGTACCGATTCCATACCAAAGAGTAGGTCCATGATGGTCGCAGTTTCAAGTTACTGTAATTCAATACAAGAGGAAAGGAATCATGCTCTGTAGGATTTGAAGCAAACTCTTCCTCTTGATCTCATGCTCTCTACCTCTTAATCACATTGCCGTACATAATTTCTGATGGTCTTAGCTGAACATCACAGTTGTTTTTGAAAGCCTTTGCCAAACAGCACATAACAGTAACCTTCATACTTAATTGTGTCAGTCAAACACCTAACGGATAAAAAGTACTGATTTGATACAAAACATTACATATAGGGTGCGGTTTGTATAGAGCCTAGGCTCTAAACAATCAAATTAAAGCCTACTTTCAAATAGTATCGAGAAATACAGTTTCAATACTGAAAATCTTTGTAATAGCCTTAAAATATATGTTCATATTTATTTATAAGGTTTAAAGTTTTAAAAATAGTGTAGATCGACATATCTATTCAATCTTGAAAATTGACATTTAAAAAATGCATTACAAAATACACTATTTCCCAATCTTGAAATCCATTTTTTTTCATGCCCATGCATCTTGATGTCGAGATGATTAATTTGAGGATATTTAGGCATCAAACCAACATCTTAAAATGAAAGTTTTGAGGTAGGCTCAATTTTAATTGTTTAGAGCCTCGGCTCTATATAAACTTTTCCCTTACATATATATATATATATATATATATATATATATATAGACTTACCTTTCATCCAAACTGAGACCTAATTTTCCTTTTATTGTTGTTGTATTTCCATTGTTATTAGTTATATTATAGACTTACTTTTCATCCAAACTGAGACCCAATTTTCGTTTTATTGTTGTTGTATTTACCTTGTTATTCGTAACTTATTTTCTTTGCATATGGATGTATCTTTTTCTTTTTCTTGTAGTGGCTATTTCTTCAAGCATATTACAATCCCTGGGTAATTGATTGTAATGAGGAAAAGATTTAGTATTTGCAATTGGCCTGCCTTGACCAAGATCATGCTCACATGTCCTTTGATGTTAAATCAAAAGATATGGGTAGAATATTAAATAGTTGACTTCTCGGGAGTATTTATTTAGATAGATTTCCCAAAGAACCATTATGACAAATGAAGCCGACTTCTTTTTCTTATCATTAAGAACTTTTGACATAATCATTGAAAATGACTAATTTTTTTATTAAGAATGTTTAAATGTGCATTTTATAACTAGATCAATTTATAGTTATCAAATTATAATTAGATGAAGGTTCACCCATCCAACAATTCCAATCCAAATTAGTTGGACACGCAAAATTAAAGGAACAAAAAAAGAACTTGTGATAAAAAGACTTCGAACAAAAAAAGCAGTTTCAAACATAGATTTGGATTACTGCGTATGCAAATTAAATGTAGAGGCCACCTCACCGATTCAGCCCAAATTTCAAACCAACAACCAAGCATTCCCAATCCGGTTGGGTAATTTTTTGAACAGAGGAACAAATACATAATGAACAAAGCTGATAATTTTTCGAACAGAGGAACAAATACATAATGAAGCAAAGGCCATAGGAATCATTTGCATGCAACTAAGACACGATAATGTAAATAATGGTCATATGAGATGAGAATTAGTTGGACAAATGAGGGAAGACAATGTACGACTACCAAGCCAGAGAGAGTCCATTCACATTGCATAGCTTCATTAGCGAAGTAGGACATTTACCTAGTTTAATATAACCCCACACCCACCCACCCACAAACTGGTCATAAATCCTGCCTCAATGACCTCAAAACCCTTAACATATCAGACCCAACTGCAATGATCAAAGCCGTGACAAAACAAAAGAAAGAGAGAAAAAACAAGAGAGAGACCCTCTTATATGTTAGTAAAAGGTTAAACCAAGGCAATGCTGCTCTCACCACCAGGAGGCTTTCGAACACCACCCAAATAATCCCGAGATTGGGCCTTGCCATCAGCAAAGATGTCACTCCCACTCATCTCTCGAAGCTTGGCGACACTTAAAGGTTTCTCAGCCGAACCAGGAGCAGTATCACCTTTGAAGATATCATTGCCAGTCAGCTCCGCAAATTTCTGGTTGTGAATTTTCTTTGCAGTTTTTACCACTGTCTCCTCACTAAACATTAGATTGCTCTGGCCCCCGGCAGGCTGCACAATAAAAATGGAACCTTGTCTCAAAGATATTGTGAAGGTACACAACCAAGACGAATGTCAGGCAAAAGGAAAAAAAAGTGTGGAGAGAAAAAAAAGTGTGGAGAGGAAGAGAGAGACCGAGTTTCTAGATAGTAAATGGCCTCATTTTATACATTTATGGTAGGGATATATATAGATAGAAAAAGCTTGGGTTAGCCCACTAACTCACAGAATAGTATAAGTCCAATAGTTCAGATTGAAATGTTCTTCTCATCAAGCTACACCTAATAAAAATATAAAAAAAAAATCCGTAAAATTAAAAATGACCAAAATACCACCGAAAATTTACAGGGGTATTTTGGTCATTTATTTTCATGTAAATTTTTTTAAAAATATTTTTTCGAATATTCACCTATTTTTTATCAACACACATCTAAAATTTCAAGTAATTTGAATTTATAGAAAAAAAATTAAAATTCAAATACTATTAGGCATTTGTGATCATTAGATCAACCAGATTCCATCTGAGCCATTGGGCTCATTTTTTTCCTGTGAGCT